GTTTTGAGCCCCGTGACCGCACCTACTAGTTAAGGCGACGCTGATATAGCCTCTCAAGGCTATCAGCTTAGGTGGGAAAAACAAAAAATAAAGGTAGGTATAAACAACCTGCCTATTTCTCATGAGAAGCAATATGCGTGCCTGTTTTAAAGATGGATGCGATACAGTTGAATATTTCGACAGTATTCATATAGTTCTGTCTATATACCCCGGTTTTCAGATGGACTGTGTGTGGACAGTGCCTTTGCCCACCTAGAGCAATAAACAAACGTAGTACGTATTTATTGATTCTTGATTGATTCAACTTAAGCGGATCACATCACTAAGATACGTATTAAATCTTCTAGTTCTAAATTAGTGGAACATGCGTATATATTTAAAGAGATATGAGACTCTTCTAATCACAAATTATATCATAACAAAACAAAAACAAAGGACAATTTAACAGAAATAAGGCCTTCGTATTTTCAATATTACTGTCCATGACAAATTATACAATGATTAAAATGCAGATTAATTTTTATTTCATCCATTCATTCGTTACATTCACGAAAAGGAATCCGGTATAATAATGAATGTGTAATTTGAACTGACAACAAATATTATACTGATTTATAATTAGTGATGTTTTTCACGGAGCCAAATGTGAAAATATGTCAACGCTGTCCAAGAGTCGTACGATGGATTTAAATGAACTAGTGGTCCCGCAGTAGTCGAAATTCGACTATAATTAATTGGAATTGTAAGTTTGTACACTATTATGATTGTATTTTATACTTTTATTATCACAAATTTCGCCAAGGCTACACTATAAAAAATATTAACAAAGACAAACAATATTTAATCTCAATTTGACAACAGACGTCAAGAACAAAACTTTGACAATAAATAGTATGCATGCGTGTGTGCGTCAAATACATGGTATGTAGTGTGTGTAATGTTTTCTTTATTGATTTAATGTATCTTTTATGCATTATTTAAAAAAAATATGAGCATTGTGCACTTCTTCTCTATATTCTCTATAAGTGTGGAAAATGTTATACTCCTCCGTCCGCGCAATTTTCGTAAAAAGGGATACAAAGTTTTTGCTTCACGTATTAAATATATAGATATTTTTTTGGCTAACGCGAATCGTACACATCTTCTTTGTCGCCACCTTGTCCCACTAAGTAGGGTCGGCACAGCGAATTTTTCTATTCCATTCTCTTCTATCAGCCGTCATCTTAACACTCACTTCTCTCTCTCTCATATCGTCATTCACACACTCCATCCATGACTTTTTCGGTCGACTTCTTCCCCCTCTACCTTGCACTACCATTTCCATTCATCTCCTAGTCATATGTAACTTCTTTCTACGCATCAAATGTCCATACCACGCTAACCGTCCACTCTTTAATTTGTCAATCACTTTCATACTTCCTCAGAGTTGGATCGAGCAAGTCGTACACATAAATAATACAATTTTTAAGTTTTAATATCGCGTTTTTTTATTGTTTTTGATATCGTTACAGACGTTTCGAATACTATACAACAAAACAGTCACGATAGTTTGGATTTTGTCTGCGATTGACGAAAACCAGAGGGCATACCGTAGTAAAAACAATAGGATGGTCACGGACGATCGCGAAAACTGTAAAGTTTCCAAAATTACGGAAAATAAAAACTGTAAAAATGATTTTAATTAATGTTTCTCTGTGTCCTTAAACACAATGATTCCGGGACCATTTTTTGAACGATTTTCATCAAGTACGTATGAGGTCTTTTCGAGGTATTTGAAGTCGTCGTGGCCTAAAGGATAAGACGTCCGGTGCATTCGTGTTGAAGAGATGCACCGGTGTTCGAATCCCAGGCGGGTACCAATTTGTGTAATGAAATATGTACGTACTCAACACATGTTCACGATTGACTTTCACGGTGAAGGAATAACATTGTGTAATAAAAATCAAACCCGCAAAATTATAATTTGGGTAATTACTGGTGGTAGAACCTCTTGTCAATCCGCGTGGGTAGGTACCACCACCCTGCCTATTTCTGCCGTGAAGCAGTAATGTGTTTCGGTCTGAAGGGTAGGGCAGCCATTGCAACTATACTTGAGACCTTAGAACTTATATCTCAAGTTGGGTGGCCCATTTACGTCGTAGATGTCTATGGGCTCCAGTAACCACTTAACACCAGGTGGGCTGTGAGCTCGTCCACCCATCTAAGAAATAAAAAATTTAAAAAGTCGTTTAATTGTTTAATGTATATTATGAGTGAAATTATTTACTTATATTATAAGTTAGATTAGTTCTAGTTATCGTAATTGTAAGGAACTTTGTATACACACTCAGAACATTAGTCGTGTTTGGTCGTGCGCACATGGCTTATGTTCCAAGCCAGATTTTTTTCTTGTTGTTACTTAATGTGAATATTTTTAGCTTGTAATGTGTATTGTGTGCTTAATCAATAAATAAATTTTAAAAAAAATTAGCATAACGCAGTCAATTGCGTTCCTAAACCGTTCATCCGATACGATACTTGAGTCGACTATTATCAAAGCCGGCAATGTGACTTTTGGACAATTATTGGTAAATCAGAAAAACGAATTACTGACTTTTTATTCCATTGGCAGTCACAAAACTCTTCTGAACGAATCTTAGATAAATAACAGGTTAAGTATTAACCTTTATTTAATGCAGGTTTTGAACCGTATTCTTTGAAGGAGACGATTATATTCAAATCAATCTGTATTGACATATCAATAACTTTTTTTTGTCCAAATGCACAGATTGCCACCTTTGATAATAGACGACTCACTTGGTCTGCACTAAACAGAGGTACCTGTACGATACGACCAATGTATGACAAGTGACGCACGTGTATTAATTATAACAAATGAACGTGTTCCACTCATTTAGCGAGCCACAGCGGAGCGAGGTCGACTTCCACTAGAACTAAACGAGAAAACCAACTGCATACGTATCCCAATTACATCAGTTTATATGTAGTACAGTATTTAAAATGTTTATTATATAAACAGAGCATCAATTATATAAAAAACAATAATTTTAGAATGTTTAAGAATTGTGTTGGTTGGTTTGGGAAATGTTTCGATTATATACGAAAGTAGTTTTTTTAATTTTCGCAAAGAATTACTAATGTCATTGTATCATCATACTAAATCTAATATATTTAGTATCTATGGTGGGTAATCTTCATGTAATCTAATTTAGTTCTTTCATGTCACCATTGTTTTAGTGGCGAATAAAACTGATCTTTTTTTATTATTGCTTAGGTGGGTGGACGAGTTCACAGCCTACCTGGTGTTAAGTGGTTACTGGAGCCCATAGACATCTACAACGTAAATGCGCCACCCACCTTGAGATATACGTTCTAAGATCTCAGTATAGTTACATCTTACGATTATAGTTACGATCATACCATTGCGATATAGTTATGATCTACTCTTTACAGAATAAAATGGAGTTCAATTTTGCGATGGCGGCATGATTTAAAGACTAAAACCATAGGATCGACTAAAATATCTTGGACTACAGCAGACCTATTTTTTTAGAATGAGTAAATAATTTTATTAACTTCTCGATCGATTTTAATATTTGGGCTAGAATCAGGGTATTTGCGTTTTTTTTTTGTTCCAGATTAATATCAACGGAAATTGCAAAAAGTTGCATACCGCATTACATTTGTAAAGCTTCGACAGTGCGTGGAAATATAGCTCCATCATAATTAAAAAGTACTTTGTGGATACGTAGATTAGAGGATTATAGTGTTTAAATAAACCGTAAATGTCTACTTAATTTGGTTACAGAGGAAAGCATTGTGTAGCCCAGTGATTCTCAACCACTGTTCCGCGGCACTTTTGTGTGCCGCCAAATTTTGCGAATATATAATAATGTTAATATTATTAAATTATATCATTTTAAAAGAAAAATATTTTAAACATGAATATATATTTAAGTCCACAAAAAAAAAAAAGTATATTTTAGTTTATTTCGTATATAAAAAATTTTTGATAAACTATTTATGCAGTGTGTTGTAGTAAGTAAATAATTTTTATCTTTTTTTTTTTGTGTGCCGCCAAATTTTGAAATCGTTAAATATGTGCCGTAACAAAAAAAAGGTTGAGAATCACTGGTATAGCCAATGGACGACGCATAGAACGAAGAAGTTGGTAGTTCGAGAACTCAAAATTGACATCTCAACTGGTAAAGCGTTCTTCTGCAATGCTAATCTTCGTACCAACGCTGATGAAGACAACTGACAGTCATCACAAATGCAATAATATCGCAACAAAGAAAATGATGATACTGCAGTAATGTTATTTCTCTAGTGTTAGTAAAACGTGAAAAAGTAAAATGGTTTTCAATTTTATAACCTAAAATGTTGTACTTTTTTTCAATCCAACTGAACGTAGGGCTCGATCGAAAGCAGTAGCTTATTAATACGAATTCGCCCTCAGCTGTGAATATCGTCGAGAGCATTACTAATAGAAGGTAAGACGTCAGTGATTTCCTATCTAGTTAGCATGTTTACACACGACTCGCGTTTATTAAACGTTCCCCTGCGTTTTGAATATCTGAAGTGTTTCTTTTCTACTTGTGTCAACGAGTAATTGCTTCGATTAGGAGTCCCGAACCTGTCTAAACATTTCCGTCATCCGAAAAACGTACTTACACAAGACGAAAGCTAACGGAAGAAAGATTGTACATAAACAAACCGTTTCTTGTTAATCCTCCATGTAATTAATGTTGTTTTATGTATCCAACATAATCTCGTTTGAATCTGTTTTACGAGATTCATATAGTTTAATCGATTAGGTATTTAAATTTTAATTAATCTACACGTAAATTCACAAGTTCGCACATATCTTTTTGTGCAAACCGCGATTCTGATTATTTAATTCAGCAAATAATTGCACAATTAACAAGACCTAGCACTAACAGTCCGTAAATATTAAGTTAAGAGAACAAATAGTACTGAATTAGAAAAATCGTACTCACTTGCCGAAGAGTGGATGCCATAAGTGGAAGGAGGATGGGTCGTGCGGATGCGGCGGTATGTGCGGCTGGGGCTCGCCGAGGGGCGTGGTGCTGCCGACCTCTGGCTCTTCCCGGCGCCGGCCCAGCGAGGCTGGAGTGTTCGAGCTGCGCCGAGACGTGGCCCCCGCACCGGACGCGGTCGCAGCCGCGGCTGCCACCATGGGCTCCATCAAATTATGCAGCGATTTCACGGTTATCCGCGGCCGTGGAGATTCCTGAGAGCTTGAACTGCTACTGCGCGTGCTCTGGCCCTCCGCTTGTTTCGTTGAGGACAAATAATTGTTGTTCGGATAGTAGGGCGACGTTGGGCTCTTCTGTTGCGTTGTGCGCGGAGATCTCTGGCTGCCCATCATGTTGGGGTTGAAGTACGGTATCTGCAGGCCGGGCAGGGGCACGTTAGGCCTGATGTTCGGGTTCATCCCCGCGTACATGTTCTGTAGATACGGGTTTTGTGGCATAGACCGCTGGCCGTGGTTGTAGTTGTGAGCGATAGGGCTTGTCCGCGCCGCCGAATGCGTTTTATTTTGATAATTCTTCGTCGAGTGCACGTACGGATTTTGAACATCATTACTTTTTGTAGTTACGTCTTTCATTTGCGTATCCGGTGTGGAGTTCGTTTTGCCGCCGCTGCGCTGAGCTGAATTCGCGTGGTTCATGGCCTCCTGCCACATAGCGAACTGTAACCGGTTATCGTAATCCATAGGAGGCATCATGGGAAAACCGGACGGCCCCATGAAACGAGACGCCGGGTTGAACATCTGCGACAACTCTGCGTAATTCGACGGGTTGTATCCTGAAGAATTTAATGCTTTCAAGAAATTTAAGCTCTGCGAACAGTTGGCTACTGCCTCCAATTGAGTAAGGTAAGGTAGCCACAGCATGTGGTTGAGTGCAGCCGAGGTCGCGGCATCGATGTCCCCAGCTAAGGCATCCATCGACGGAATCGGTTTTGGGTGACTCGTCTGCTGGTCAGGTTGAGGAGTAGTAGACGGTTCGGTGCATGGCGTTGTCGGCGGTTCAGCGACCGGCGTCGGTTTCGATGCCGGCTTAGGATCTTTAGGTTTGGGCGATGTTTTTCCCTTATTTTGATTTTCTAAAATAGTTTCTAATTGTGATAATGATATGACGAGTACATCGGGGTCTTGCAGCACGGCAGGAAAAGCGAATGCCTCCGGGAGCTGTAATTCCGGCCTTGAACTCAATAAGTTCATTATTTCTTTGCCGGGAGAGGCAAGTATCAAATTTAACTTATCCTTCGGGATCAACATCGGGTCTGGAACGTTATAATCTGCATTTGATTTGAGAGTCTGTAGCTGTTTGATAGGGTCGTCGTCGAAATTGAACGCGGGCCATTCGATCTTTTTAGGTTTAACTTCTCCGCACTTGTTGAACACTTTATTTATCTTAGCGAGGTCCTCGGTTGACTCACGTTTTATACGTTTCTCTTGAGGCTCGCCGAATTCCTTGTTAATTTTCCTAATTTCATCCGAACAGCTCGACACTGTCGGGCTCGCTGACTTCCTGTGTTTTCCTAAATTCAAGGGTTCGCACTGTTGCTTCGTGATCGTAACTTCGGATGTATACATTTTAGGCGACGGAGACGAAAGTAGTGTTTCTAAAAATAGAGCCTGTTTACTTTTTGTCACGGGCATCGTGAAGATTTCCGGCGATGACGGCACTGCCGGTATGCCACTAGGCTGAGGAGATTGCATCGCATCTGATTCTCTCGAAGGTGCTCGCGGTATTTCTATTCTCCGCGGTGAGGCGTGCGGAGTGGCCATCCTTCTGTGTACGCTTAGATCTTTAGGTTGTTCATCACTCTTGTCCGACAAATTGTCTTCGATAGCGTGTGTGGTCTCGGCTGCCCTAGCCACTACTTTAGGTATATCTTTATCGACATGTTTAACGCTTAAGTCAGTCGGAGAATTTTCATCGTTAGTTGACGCCTGTGATAGTTCTTGAGCTAAATTCAGAATAGGTTCATCATCGGGAGGCTGGTCGTCTATGTCCGGCTCCTCAATTTTACTGTCAAGCTCGCCGTCGGTCTGACAATCATCGTCTTTATTTTGTGATGTAGCGTCTTTGGGTTCGTCCTCAGTTGATGTGTCATCGCTTTGGTCAGGTATCGACCCCTGGGGTTCTACGTAACGTTTTTCGGATTCATAGCTCTCTTGTAAATCAGATACTTGTTCTGAATACATCGTGTCGGATGACGCCACGTCGTCATGTATACTCTTTTCTATGGGGTCAGTGTAGTGATTGACGTTGTTAGTCGCTTGCATTACGGAGGCTTCGCTGAGCGCCTGAAGGCCACAATCACTGGAAGGTTCCGCTACAAACACTTCATCCGACATATAGCTCTCCACGGAACTTTGATGCTCCGGTTGGGTAAGGTGGTGATCGCCTATGTGGTGAAGGTGCAGAAGACCCTGAGCAGCGGTAATGCTGCTCCGGCTCGGTGATTCGAGTGAGTGTTCGAGTCTGTCGATGATATCAGAGACTGGACCGTTATTTAGCAACATGTCCTCCTCAGACTCTGCGTACTCGGCGGCCCCGTGAACTAGATGGGCGAGTTTGTCCAGCGTCTGTCCGAGGATTTGGTTATCTTCGCAACCTTTTTCGACCAGCGAATCTAGCAATGCTTCATCGTGAGGTCCTCCAAGCTCTGGCAAATAGTGCGCTTCACTGATCGTATCGAACAGGTCCTTGTGCACGCTCATGTCGCCGCCGTAAGCGCTGTCTTCGGTACAGTTCTGAGCTTGGGCTTTGCGCTCGTAATACATCGCTTCCGGTGGCTTCGATGCGCTCAGATCAAAGGACATGACGTCCCGCGCTACCTCTTCCGATTGCAGGAAAGAGTAAGACGGGGCGGCGGGAGGATGCGCCGGGACGGCAGCCTGCAGATCCAGCCCGAGCGCCTCTTCACCGCGCTGTTGGTTGAATTCGAGCTCGGCGACCGCCAGCAGGTTGTCGAGCGGTGTCGGCTCGGGCACCTGCTGGCGAGGCACCGCTATCGTGTGGGAGGGAATGTGCGACTCCAGGTCGGGGGGGAGCCACGCAGGTGCGGGCTCCGGGACGGCCGGGCGACGACGACGCGGGCCGTCAGATCGTCGACGCCGGCGCCGCTCCTTACGGTCCCGCGGTTGCACGGGAGGGATGCGAATCGAGTTGTAGATCTCGGTGCGCGGGATCACGCGCCAGCCGGCCGGGGTGCGCGCTATGCGGATGCGATTGCGCGGGTCGTAGTCCTCGCAGTGCACCTCCTGCACGGTGCCGTCTCGCTGGCGGGCCCACAGGAACACGGGTCGCAGACGCGGTGCGGGCGGGCGGGCGGCTAGACTGCGCGCGCGGCGACGAGGCGGGGCGGGCGGCGCGGGCGGGAGCATCCGACTGCGGGCTACATCGGCGCGGGGCGGGCGGCGCGAGGCTCGCCGCCGCCGGCTGCACCGCGGACTCACCAACGGAGCGCCGCAGCGAGTGACGAGCGACGACCGCGCGGACGCGGCCCCGAGGCGGACTGAGCGCGAGTGGAGCCCCGCCCCGCCGCCCGCGCCCCGCCCTAACATCGATCCCCGGCGCCCGCTGCACCGCGCCTGCACCGCCCCGTCACTCCCGCCCGCCCCGGCCCCGGCGCCCTCTGCCCTCGTTAATCTTAAATCCATATCTCCAACTCCGACGTGGTGCGTTCCGCCTCCGGCCGGTGTCCGTTTTCCTTGTTCGTCTCTCGACCGGCTCGGTAGCGTTGCGAACGCTGGCCCTGTGAATAATTCGAACCATGCGTTGCCCTTTCATATGCAAATGTAGGGATTGTAGTTGACATAGTCTTGTCTGGGCTTTGCGGTTCGGCAAACATTTTGCAAAGTAAACTTCTGTCACTCGCTTCATTGTTAATTGCGAGATAGAAGGGAGCATTTCGAAACAATATTAACCTTCCTTCGATAGTGATTTATAATACTAAAATAAACTATTCGTATAGGGGTTGCGCTGTATAGTTGTAGTTGTATCACTCAATACAATTAGTATGTGTTCACTACCTATTCAATGTTTTGGTTTATAAAACAGGTTTTTGTACTCTAGCCAGGCGAATTGATACTTGTGCTGCCACCTAGGTACCGGATTAGGTTAAAATTATAAACTTATGCTTCTCTGTCTATGCAGGAACTTTAAAAACACGAATCCAACAGTTCCACGATTAAATCACAGATGTCACTTTTATCATTTTTTGTGAGTTTTAAAATTCCCAAAACTATAAATTGAAGCTGTCCAGGTTTCACACGCTCCAAACGTAAATTAATTATTGCAATTTAGGAGACCGTTGAAAAAATCTACAAAAAATTGGCTCTAAATCTTTGACAGGAATTCAATTAACGAATAATAATTTTGAAACATGTTTGGTATAGAACAATGACGACAGTCAATCAACGTCCAGGTAAAAACGTAATAAATAATGTTTTATCCTAGTTCTGCCGTTTTTCGTTGTAGTGGTCATTGATTTAGAGTACTGTACCGGGGCTCTACTTTCGAATCCTGGACATAGTGCCTTTGCTTAATTAAATTTCACTCGAAGAGAATTAGGAAAATAGTCACTCGTAATTAAAACAAAATTCAATGAAACAACTTTATTCGTTTTAATATTACATTCTCTTAGAATTACGACTAGATATTATTGTTTAAGTAGCCCTGTTAAAATTTGTCGACTTTAGCAATAAAAAAAAAAAAAAAAAAAAAAAAAAATTATACGGAATGGCGAACATTTAAAACTTCTAATACTATGGACACAGTTCTAATAACATAAACAAAAAAAAAAGTGTTAGGGCGTCTTGTGAGTCCGCATATTTCTGGTGGGAAGCCATCATGCGTTCCGCTACTAAGGCTGGGGCAGCCGTAGTACAATAGAATTGGGATTTCGACCCTGTCTAAGGGTGGGAGCAACATTCTCGCTTTGATCCACCTTTTTTTGCTTAGATGAGTGGACGAGCTCACAGCCCACCTGGTGTTAAGTGGTTACTAGAGCCCATAGACATCTACAACGTAAATGCCGCCACCCACCTTGAAATATAAGTTCTAAGATCTGAGTATATGTAGTTACATTTAACGATTATAGTTACGATCATATCATTACGAAGTAGTTACGGTCTACTCTTTACAGAATAAAATGGCTTCAATTTTGCGATAACGGCATGATTTAAGACTAAAACCATAGGATCGACTAAAATATCTTGGACTACAGCGGACCTCTCTTTTTAGAATGAGTAAATAATTTTATTATTATAGCTTCCTGATTTATTTTAATACTTAGTCTGGCCATAAATACTGTTATAATTAAAAATAAACAAAATATTACATTTGAATTTGGAATCTGTTATTTTTATATGATTGCTCATTGAGTTTTCTCATTATGGCGCCAATACATTGTACAATATTTTGCGATATTAAAATGGAGTGGGGTGATAAAGAGAACCGAATCGCTGTGATTGCATTACACAAAGTAGGTATGGAGCCAAATACAATTTTTAAAACTCTCCATACGCTTGGTATTAGTAAAATGTTTGTATACCGGGCTATTAATAGGTGCAATGAGACCTCCTCTGTTTGTGACAGAAAAAGATCTCGCCGTCCACGTAGTGTTCGTACGAAAAAGGTGGTCAAAGCAACAAGGGAAAGAATTCGAAGAAATCCTGTCTGAAAGCAAAAGATTTTATCTCGGGAGATGAAGATAGCACCTAGAAGCATGTCATGTTCTAAGGTATACAATAAAGTTACAAGGGCTTCCCCACCCTTCAAACCGAAACGCATTATTGCTTCACGGCAGAAATAGGCAGGGCGGTGGTACCTACCCGTGCGGACTCACAAGAGGTCCTACCAGCAGTAAAAAAAACATAACAGTATTAAAACTTTAAACTATGTTACAATTGCGCGTAAATGCATCTGCATGTATACATCATAGTCCGAAAAACACTTATTACTTTTTAATCTTATTTTAGAGGAATCACTAAAAACAATTGCAGTCTAAAATTTCCAAGAGCCTCAAAAATATTATTTACCACTTCAACATTATTATTTAAAATGTCCTAAAAAACTCACTTAACAAAGACTACTTATCAACACTCTTGGAAAATGCTCTATAGAAAAATGAAGTAACAAATTTAATATTTAAAAAAAATAATGGTGCGTATGCAACTTGAGACATGTGAAAGCAGTGAAACTTCTTTTGCATTGTATTGTGGTTTTCTTCATTTTTCATCCTTATATCAAATTTATTTTATAATACGGAATGTTTTGTATAAAAGAAACAACTCCTTCGCTATTTATATATAATATTATATATACAAAAATATTTTTGTTTAAATTCTTCATTGAAAAAAAAGGAGTTAATATGTTACTGCCATCTACAGGAGCAATGAGAAAATATTAACAAGCCATCTAGTGGCCAACGCCCGTAAACAGAATGTGTATAAGAGAAACGACCTAGCTCGCTTTCTCCCTCTCTCCAAAGTCGAGTGGTTCGCGAGACGATCTGTTTATTTTCTCACTCTCGCTCGTCCTAAATTGTATCTTTTTTCTCTAGTCGTAACTAGAGAATAAAATTTTACGCTCAACGCCCCTACAGAAGTTTCACTTCAAAATTTGTTTGTTGCTTAATGGCAAATGGCTTTGACAGAAAGTCAAAGGACATATGTTATCTGTGGTTATGTTTGCTATAGTATAATAACTGTTTCATTGAGGGTAGGTTACTATCGTGTTGCATTATACGGTAAATGTGTCTAGAAGATGCTGGCCACGACGCTCAGATGAGGAAGCAAGTTGTGAAGGAAAAGTCACTTTAGGAACTATCAAATTAACACATTTCAAAATACGTCACATATATACAGGGTGTTTTGCAATCGAAACGTTTTTTTATGAGTATTTTTGCATTTTGGAACATGATTATGATGATCATTGATAATGATCATTGTTCTATACTCTTCGTATATACTGTGTTACTAATAATATTTTGTATTCAAGTTACACAATATTTGCTATGTGTATGTGCATTACTATAATTCTCATGTTGTATTTATTATTTTAGCTGTTCTACACACACTCATCACTTTTAATTATTATTCTCATAATGCTGGAAAGTCTGCTGGAAGAGATTTATTAAAGAAATAAGCACTGCCTTTGTACATAATTTTCCTATTACTCTGTACTGTCTTTTTTTTGTGTGTACATAAATAAATAAAAAAAAATAATTGACGTGTCCAGTAACTTAAGTAGCTAACATGTGGGGTCTTCATTGGCAGGTCAAATACATTCTATATTTTAACATACTAACAACAGAACGTGGTGGCGAGCTTCAAGCATCGTCCGCCCTTCGCATTGTGACACGCCCACAAAATCATCGTATAATCAGACGTCGGTGCTTCAAAATGTGGTCATGCATCGCTCTGATCACCATTGTGGTGCCGACCATTATGGCGAATGCTGTACCTATGCCGATGATGTAGAAGTGGTTGGAGTTCCCGACTGGAACGCGCCACACGAGAGGATCTGTCAACTGAAAATAACAATGTTATTTATTTATAATTAAGACAGCAGGAATACACACTATAATATAATGTACTACCGACCCGCCCTCGCTTCGCTTCGGAAACTGTAATTTATTATTGATTTCTCCACTATTTAATGGATGTTATTATACATATAAACCTTGCTCTTCAATCACTCTATCTATAAAAAAAAAACCGCATCAAAATCCGTTGCGTAGTTTTAAAGATTTAAGCATACATAGGGACAGAGAAAGCGACTTTGTTTTATACTATGTAGTGTTGTAACCTCCATAGGATTTATTAAATAAATCTTAAAAGAGGTTAATATTTTATACAGGTGACATAAATGGTAATTTGAATATTGAAACATTAGAAGAGGGAGCATTAGAAATATTAAAACATTTTTGAATATTGAAATATAAAAAAAACATAAAAAGTGGTTAAGCAATAGCTTTAAATGTTGTTTCTCTTTATAGAGCAAGTCAGTTTTGCTATAGTTTTACTAGGCTAAACTTTATTTTGATGTAAAATATAATACATTATATGTATACATGTTGGTTACAGCTATTCAACAATGTCTATGTGGCTGTGAGGCTTCGGGCGAGTCTTTGAGTTCGCTCACCTGTCCTAGCTAAGCGGCAAGGTCCTAGCCCAACCATTAATCGAAAAAGGATGTTTATCACCATCCTACAGAGGGTATATAAAAAAAATATTTTTTTATTGCTTAGATGGGTGGACGAACTCACAGCCCACCTGGTGTTAAGTGATTACTGGAGCCAATGGACATTTACAACGTAAATGCGTCACCCACCTTGCGATATAAGTTCTAAGATCTCAGTATAGTTACAACGGCTGCCCCACCCTTCAAACCAAAACGCATTACTGCTTCACGGCAGAAATAGGCAGGGCGTACCTACCCGCGCGGACTCACAAGAGTTCCTACCACCAGTAATCATCCACATCACATCATTACATAATTTGGACCTGAATCTTATCAGTTAAGACAGTCAGCGGCATTGGTGTTGTCTATAGGTTTCAGTTGAGCTTGGGTGTGAGCTCATGTTGACTTACAGGTAAAAACATGAAAAAAAAACAAACCACAGTGTAAGGTATATCTCTCCACGAGCACATCTTGACACCACCGTTACATGTCAAAGTGACTGATGGTGACACACTGCGGTCGCACACGTCCAGTCTACGATCAGCACAATATAGGTACATTTTCGGGGGTCCTATGTCATACTGTACCATCCTAAAAAAAAGAGAATACATATTATTAGAACTTATTCTGATAGACGAATCATAGATAATACACATACATTAGTTATAGATAAGCAACTCAAGGATTCAACAAAAATGTTTACGGGCGTCGGCCACCAGATGGATTCGCTTCGATTAGTTTCTCATTGCTCATGTAGATGGCAGTAACATATTACTTGCCTATATTTTATTGTTGATGAAGAATTTTGTAAATTTTCTATAACAAATAAAGACTTGTATGGTTTTTTATTTTTTTCATTTACTTATACAATAAGTAAATGCCTTAACTTTAACAACATACATGTTTAGGGGCATCTAAAAATATTTGTCTTAAAGTATGGCAGTTTTAGAGTTCTGAGATGAATAATATGCCACTACTGAATGTGAAACAGTAAAGGATTATCTTAAAGATAAATATTAGTAAGGTCTATGTAATCTAGAATTAAGAATTAAGTATCTAAGATATCTAGAATTATCAGTACCGTGTTTCACCCACAAACCCGCCAAACCTTTCAATTCAACCCAATTAAGACTTTGACCTTTTTATCTGCAGCAATAGTCAAGCTCTCATGTACTCATCAAAAAGAAAATGCTTACCCTCCACCAGATACAGATTCATGATATCGAGCATGAACGGGTAGCCACATTTGTATTTCATCATCAGTCAATTCACTTATAATGAACACATTTATAGGTTCTGCTTCTTCAGTTGGCAGCTCTATGTTGACCCGACCCCTCGGAAATGCATTCAACTGCAATTTAAAACAAATAATTTAATACAAAGTCTCCTTTTATGAGACATTTACAAATCCAAATTTAATTGGATAATTTTCTTGTTGGATCCTCAGATGGGTAGTATTTTTTTCTAGATAATTACCCCATGTAAGTAGACCTTATGATGATAGAATATAGTATCCGGTTATGAGACATTTACAAATCCAAATTTAATTGGATAACTTTCTTGTTGGATCCTCAGATGGGTAGCATTTTTTTCTAGATAATAACCCCATGTAAGTAGACCTTATGGTGATAGAATATAGTATAAATACTTATTCCTCTGTCTGTTGTAATCAGCAGCTTTTAATTTAAATAAATAAATAGCTACCATAACATTGAGGGTATATTGCATATTTGGTTTAAGCAACATTTCTCTTTATAATTAAAGGTCTGTTTTATTTGCTATTAGTATCAACAATTCGATGTTTTTAATTGAACATCAATTAAGTTTACCACATTGAAATAGCTCAAAAAGTTTTTTGTCATGGTATTTTTTGATTGCCGTTGAATATGATGTGAATTTAACTCATATGCTTGAACTTGAACTTATATTTGTTATAAATATTATTGTCATCAGAGCTTGTAATGTATTTCAGAGGGAATTTTTTCTCCTTTTCATAAAAACGATTACAAAGTGCTGGTGATATAAAAACAGATTCGCTGATGGTACCCCAACAAGTATGCTTAATATAATAAAACATAATAGAGCTATCAATTAAAAAAAAGTATACCCTTTCCAGACGATTGAACTCATTCAGTTCATTCGGATTAACAAACACCCCAGCAGGCAGGTACTGGTCGAGGCCAATTCTACATCCATTGTATATACCTTTTGACTCTGAATCCTCATTGAAAATTATGTGGTAGGTTAGGTTCCTGTAATGATGCCTTCAAATTATGTCCTAAGGTGTGTTCAGCAAGTTTAATGATTAACTTTTTTTTTGTTCTTTGAATCATTACAAGTTATCTAATACTAAATTATAATGTTTATCAGAAAAGTTTTAATTTTTACTTAGTCTATCGACTGTTTAAAATTTTACTATGAAAATAATAAATTTGAATCTATGTCTCTATAATTTTGATTATGGTTTTTAAAACTCTAGTATATATAAAATCTTTACGGCATAAAAACTTTAACGGTAGGCAGCGGCTTGGCTCTGCCCCTGGCATTGCTGAAGTCCATGGGCGACGGTAACCACTCACCATCAGGTGGGCCGTATGCTCGTCTGCCTACAAGGGCAATAAAAAAAAAAAACTGAAGACTTGTTGAATTCGCTGCTATATTTATTGAAATTAAAATCATTCAATCATTTAAATGACTGTTCTAGTGGGAGTAAAGCTACTAAATAATTCACCAGAATATGAGCAGCAGTAATCACTTTAGTACTAGTGCACTGTGATCGCCACCTATTTACTGGTGGTAGGGCGTATTGAGGGCACGCGGGGCTGAGTGCCATTGTCTTATCCATTCCTGTTTGCGAGCTATCTATGAACTATGGTTTGGGAGATTGGATGTCTGTTGTACACTGGAGTTGAGTCTACAACATCTTGCCTCTGTAGCCATATTCACAAGGTGTGTCTGAGGGCTCCATTATCCACTTTACACCAGATCGGCTAGATCAGATAGATCATTCATATACAACGAACAGAAAATCCTATGCCTCAATTTTTGCTACTAATGTTACTTTAGATGCTCTAGGTACCTGTGATATCCATCATTGATGAGTATCTGAGCTATTTTCACATCATAATCACATTTACTGGCCGAAAAAACTTTGATTGCAACAAAAACAACGATACATATTCGAAAACTAAAAATATTTGTCAACATATTTACTTAAAATTGAAAAGTTGAAACAAATTTTGCTGGGCTTACGGTATTTATTCAAATTATGAATTAATCAATACCCATTCTGCGGCGACGCAGTGTTGTTTTGATAAAATACTACCTATTTTATTGCACTTGCACAAATGCAGTTTCTGCACAGCCGCAATAAATCAAAATTCAAAGTGGAGGCAAGGTATTTTTATTTTTAAGGGATTTTATGACCTGGTAACTGAGACCTTTAAGTCATGTCTTATTTTAATTTATACATATTCATTTTATGAAAAATGATATTATGGAGTGAAATGAAATGAAGATGATTAATTTGAGACATTAAGCTGGGATGAAATGAAATGAATTGAAATGAGATGATATGGGATGAAATATAATCTCAGTAAAATGGTGGTCATTTACTAAGATTTTTTCAGTGGACTTTTTGGAGGATCCCGAGAAGTTTGACGTGGTAGTAAGAACCATAGATCAGAACTTTTTGGCGGGAACGCGAGGAGTGAAGTTGTGTAATTTGTTTAATATTGTCTCTTTAGTATTTCTTCAGGTTTAAATGTGTAATAACGTTGATTTATTAACTGCTATCTGTGAAAGTGCACAAATGTGAGAAAATGCAACAAAGCCGCTGGACGTAACTTCTCGGGATCCTCCAAAAAGTCCACTGAAAAACTCTCAGTAGTGATCACCATTTTACTGAGACTATATTTCATCCTTTATCATATCATTTCATTTAATTTCATCCCAGTTGATTAATGTCTCAAATTAATCATCTTCATTTCATTTCACTCCATAATATCATTTTTCATAAAAATATGAATATAAATAAAATAAGACATGACTTAAAGATCTTAGTTACCAGGTCATAAAGTCCTTAAAAAACCTATAGATCAGTAAAAGGAGCACAACAATCGATCGACGTGTCCAGTGTCCATTGATTTAGGAATGAAATGAAATGGAATTCAAATGAGACGAAAGTGAAATAAGACAAAAAGTCCTGTACAGCGATCTTCTCACATGTGCACACTTTCGCGGATGTTTAGCATTAAACTTTAAAATATTTAAAAATATATAAAATCACACTAAGCCAAATAATTCACATCTCGATACCCACAAAAAGTCCATCCTAACTGTAAAGGGTTTTATTCGTAATAAAACGTTTAATGAAGGTAGAAATGATCTTAGTTTCAATTTTATTGAACCCTTCATTTATTTACCATGTTTTTATTTTTATTCTAGCGGACAACTATTTATAATAACATATTTCTATATAGTTTTCTATATTATATATAGTTTTCTTAAAAAGCTCCGATATTTCAGTATCAATCAGAGTGAAAAATACTAATCTTGGACTTGTGACAATGCCTATAGAATTCTGAAGAGACCGAAACAGGTGGAAATCTGAAGGTGCAAGGTCAGAACTATACGGCGGATGCATTAACACCTCCCAGCCAAGCTCTCTTAATTTTTGCTGAGTGGCTAAAGATGTGTGAGGTCTAGCGTTATCATGATGAAAAACCACACCCCTTCTGTTGATTAATTCCGGCCGCTTTCTCCCAACTTCTTGCTATAATCTCATCAGTTGTTCGCAGTAGAGTTCAGAATCGATGGTCCTGCCTGGTGGTAACAGCTTATAATGAATAACGTCCTTCCAATCTCAACACACACACATCATCACCTTGTCGTGAGTTAACCCGGGTTTCGCCACAGTCTGTGAAGCCTAACTGGCCTTTGACCACGACCTTTTTCGCACATTCTTGTCGTACAAGATCCACTTTTCATCACCAGTTATTAGTTTCTTCAAAAATGGTTCGGTTTCATTACGTCGTAATAAAGAATCACAAATGAGTGCACGGTTCATTAGGTTTCTTTCAGTGAGCTCGTGAGGTACCCAAATATCGAGCTTTTTTGTGTACTACCCAGTTTTTGAAGTTAAACTTCTTTAGAATCGTTGTGATGTGATTTCAAACTCGATGAAACGAAAAAATGAAACGTGAAGTTAAAATATCAATTCACAGAGGGCGCTATCTCATACTATAAAATATGATTTACAATTATTTCTATTTAGTTTGGTATCAACAGATGTCGCTGCACGTAAATTCAACAATTCCTGATCGCGATGATGAGATGTTACACATTTGATAGAGGTTCTCGTATTTCTCTTGCAAAATCATACTAAGCTGGGATAGACACCGTGATCGTGCAGGCGGTTTCTCAGAGCCAGGCTGCTTCAATGCACTGTGAGTGGAGTGTTTGGTAGTTGACCCTTGCGATTATTCTTATGTTTAAAAATTTAGCTTCTACCGCGTGTGATTTATGCACACACACGAACACTTATTTTTTAAATGCGCCAAAACTGTTTTTGGTCAATTCCCAGTTCAGCTACGCCGTAACTACTGATATGCCGATCTTGCTCCACTTTTTCAAAAATGGCATCCGTTTTATCCGTAATAGGGCGACCAGAGCGACGTGCATCTTTGACATCAAAATTGCCGGATTTAAAACGCTTAAACCAAATTAGTGCTACTCTCACAGATACTGCACTAGGTCCATAAAAATCGCCAATATTTTTCACGGCTTGCATTGCATTTTTACCTTTTTTGTAGTAAAATTTTAAAATGTATCGAATTTCTTAATTAGATTCACTCATCTTGACAGTGTGAAAAATAAATAAAAATCACACATTTTCCTAATTTGAATTTTGATCTTGGATTATCTTCTTTAACCTATAACTGGTGACACGCCAAATTTATAACACTATAATGGACATGACGTCTCACAGACTACTTTTAAATTCATTTTTATTGTGAAAATCAACTTGAGTGTTTCAAAATTGCCTTAATATTCAATCAACGGTATATAATGAAAAACACATTAGTAAATCAAACCAAGTTTTTTTATAAAATATCGAGAGAATCGAGTAATAACACTTAAAATTTAAACTTTTGATGATACCAAAACCAGCCAGTTACAAATAGTATAGCCAAAGAGATTTTATTACAAGTTCATACATACTATAATGCGAAAAGACTTTTTCCCCAACCTATTACTACCTCACCCTCCATTGATTATGCAAAGTAATTTAATGTATTCGTAATTTCAAAACAAAAAGGTCTACCAAAAGAAATTTATTTTTTCATATTTCCTTATTTTTTACTGGCGGTAGGACCTCTTGTAAGTCCGCACGGGTAGGTACCACCACCCTGCCTATTTCTGTCCTGAAGCAGTAATGCGTTTCGGTTTGAAGGGTGGGGCAGCCGTTGTAACTATACTGAGACCTTAGAACTCATAATGCAAGAAGGTGGGTGGCGGCATTTACGTTGTAGATATCTATGGGCTCCAGTAACCACTTAACACTAGATGGGCTGTGACCTTGTCCACCGATCAACGCAATAAAAAGAAAATATTTTTTTCGCATTGCAAAGATTTTGACTCCAGGTTACGCTTACTTCACAATTAACTTAGTATCGTCTCTATAATGAGTGGAGGTTAGTCTGTCGTCCGTCTGTTATACAATATGAAGTTATCCAATGATAATTCCCGTGAAGATTACGAATACAATGTGAGCAGTACAGTGTGTGCATTGTTTTAAGATTCCGATGTGCCGACGACGTCGGAATGTCTGCTTTTAAGTCGTAACCATGATGATGCTATGTTAAGGTGACAATGATTTAATTAAATTTATAGATGATTGTTTTAAAATTCAACAATGATTTTTGGTGACGTCTTTGTCCTCTTTCAGCCCACCGTACACGGGATAACAGGGTTGCCATTTGCCATTCGTTTGTAAAGTTGTTATTAAAATTTATAAATTAATTTAAAGGTTTGTAAATTTGTAATTATGTTTGTAAATTTATAAATTCTAATTATATATTTTTTTAACTGAACTGTACTCTAAAGCAGAATTATTAAGCTTAGATTATTAGATAGTCAAGATTAGATAGTCATAACAACTATGGAGGGTAGAGCTAAGAAGCACTATCTTTTATAGGGAACAAATTGAAAAAGGAGTCACATGTAAACAGCAAGTTATTGTTGGAAGACTCAACGAAACAGCGCTAGTCTAGGAAGTGGCAATGATATGAACATAGCAGTTTTAAAGAGAGTGAAGTGTGCTGAGTTGAAAATTTTAATATTTTTCGTGACTTATGTAGATAAAAATATGCAGTTTTTATGATCTCAACTATTTATTTTTATTATTACTTAGGTAGGAAATGTATCTTTCCTTTTGCGCTATATTGCGCTGTTTTTAAAATCTTTCCACTTGCTACTGTGGCGCCACCTTGATTGGATGCTTTTTAGCGGACACTTTTAAATACACTGAGACGGTATTCTTTATTCCTATCATCCATAAGATAAATTAGAATTTCTGTGAGACATTATGACGGTTAGACATCCGCACACAGAAACGTGTTCCAAAAAAGGATAGGTAGATATTGAGCATGAAGAATGATATTCCACTGACATCAGAAAAAACTTTTCTTTTGGATGTTTTTGGTATTAATCACATATTAATGTCTATGCCAATAATGCTATTTGCATTGCAAACAAAGTTAGAAGAGGACAGCAGTTGTACAATATAGACTTGGCTTAAGTCGCCTAGTTGGAGCAAATACAAATAGTAAGTTGAACAAAACACTGCTCACAAGCTATCTCAGATTGAGCCTCGTGAACTCACCTACCCGTCGGTGCGTAGTTGTAATAGCCTCTTATTTTTTTATTTTTTTTATTGCATAGATGGATGGACTCAGCACTCAGCTGCAGATAGGAACAGATGGCGGTGCACTATAAAAAACAATCTGTTTCAAGGCCATGACCACAACCCTCAGTAATGAGGAAACCGACGCAAGGAGGAGGAGAGATGGATGGACGAGCTCACAGCCCACCTGGTGTTAAGTGGTTACTGGAGCCCATAGACATCTACAACGTAAATGCGCCACCCACCTCGAGATATAAGTTCTAAGGTCTCAGTATAGTTACAACGGCTACCCCACCCTTCGAACCGAAACGCATTACTGCTTCACGGCGGAAAATAGGCAGGGTGGTGGTACCTACCCGTGCGGAATCCCAAGACGTCCTACCACCTTATATTTTATATTTGATTCTATTCCACTTGTACAGTTACCTAGTTTTCTCATTAGACATACAAAACGTTTGTTTTATGAACCTCTTTTACGGCAAGGGATTATTTCGTGTAACGAAAATAAACCGTTTATTTTTAATTTGACGCTTCATGAGTTTCTATCTGTAACCTTTCTACAAAAAGCAATCACGTATTCCAATTTCGTATTACAGAATTGAAATTTCAACTCATAATTGAATCTTAAAGTACTATCATTCACGTTGCGATGTCAATGCGTTCCCATATAGGCATACAGTATCGGATAAGCCGTTAGATCGTCTGTCCATTTAGAGAACTGAAGAAGATACATCTGATCATTAATAGTTTCTGCATTACGCAAAAATTATTGAAGAAAATCTAGGCCAATCTCGAACCGGCTCACGCGACTTATAAAAACTCAATATTCTTAGGCCACGAGACTGCATGTAAAAAAAAAACATTTGTCAAATTAATTACAAGGCTCCCGCGATCGAATTAAGACCATAATTCTATGCGTAGTACTTTCGTAATATGGTAAATTTCTATGAGGAATGTCTCCGAAAGCCTTGAATGTTTCGTCAACCGAGTTCTGATTTTATAATGGGTACTACGATGCTTCAATAAGTCGATAGCTTTACGCATTTCGAATTCTTTTCGAACGTGATTGACTGGCAAGTATATTTATTTAAGCGTCGATTGCAAGATAATTTAAACTATGGCTCAACCTTATGATATCTATGTTAACTAGCAGATCAAAGCATCTTGTTTGCGCTTGATATTGTGTTGGTTATGAAATGATGCGTATGTTGAAAGTCTTCATAGAGAGAGAAGAGGAAAGAGAAAAGGAGTTCACGACCCTTAAAATAGTTACCGATGAATGACGCTGCTTACTTTCAGACAATTCATTCACTTCAATTGACTTTTCAACTTTCGGACCAATGATGTATGATAATTTTTCTGTACGAAAATATCAGTAGTACTAATTTAATCAGTCTTAATTTTGTTCATTTCTAAACGGCCAACATTAAAAAAATGGATTCCTCGTACTAAACACTTTTGTCTATTAAATTCTAGAAAAACATTTTGTCAAACTTTTCGAAGTCAAAACGAATTCAAGTGGTAATGGCGCGGTGATCAGTACAACAATCGGCGAGTGAGGCCGGTTGTGTTACCTCAGTTTACGTGTAACCTCACATCAGGAGGTACGTGTGTTAGTTAACGTATAAATAAAACATTTTCACATACATACGTGCCTGTTACGCGCGATAAACTTTTGTTGCTTTTGCTCAACGGGACGAAACGAAATTTGAGGTTAGTTTTTAAATTTTATTTTCGTAACTAATCATTTGGCTTATTGGTTCCGTGCGAATTTGAGGGGGAATTAAACGTGACGTCACGAAGCCTGACTATTTACTGTCGTAAATATAAAACTGTATTATACAATTGAATCATTGGATTGATAAGTGGTTCATCACAAAACGCAAGAAAAAAAGCTTTACAAGGTCTGTATCGTTCAAGTTTTGATTAAACAACAGTACCTACATATTATTGTCAACGTTTAGTTTATTAGAGCTTTGTAAACAGCTTTATAGTAAAAATTATAACTTGAATAAGAGTCCAAAGAGTAACATCTAAATACTAAAATTCAAATTAAAGTTTGTTACTGCGTAGGTATTTTGAGAAAATTCTAATTAAAAAGGCAATGTAACAGGTGCCATGGTAGGAGGTTCAAAGATCTTTTGTATCTCTACCTGCAATTTTCATTTTAAATCAAACGGTGTTTCACTGTTATTAATTTATGATTTAAAGGTATTAATAAACAAACTTACTTTATGTTTAATAAGTAATTTAATTAAAATTCGTTCGTATGCAAACTAATAATATGTGTTGCATTTAAAAAAAAATATAATTCGGCTGAGGAATTGGCCCCAAAATGTCACAAGAATGGTTTTTGACGAAAATAAATAGGTACGATATTATGTATGCGAATATATTTTATCTGTGCACTAACAACTAATTAAATAAATTTAAATTCGAGAATCGCTAATCAAATAATTTAAAAATCAAGGATTCGAATTATAATCATACTGTCGTAATACATAATATTTCCTTGTTATAAAATGTTACACATACATTGAAATAACGATCAAATTATTCAAACATATGAGGCAGATCACGTTTTTAGATAAAAGAGCGGCCAACTTCATTACTGCCGTTGACATTGTCGAAATATTTTTTTATTGCATATATGGGTGGACGAGTTCACGGCCAAGGTACCATGGTACCTTGAGACATGAGTTCTAAGGTCTCATTTTAACTACGGCTGCCCCGCCCTTCAAACCGAAACGTATTACTGCTTCACAGCAGATATAGGCACGGTGATGGGAACTACCCGCGCGGACTCGCAAGATGTCCTACCACCAGTAATATTTTAGACTCAGTCAAAGCGATAATCATTATCATTTTATCATTCGAATCTAACCTTACAGTCCTGTTACGCAATCCCAGAACTCAATAGCTCGGCAGAGAAACATGATTTTTAAAACACAACATTAAGTAACTGATTGACAATTTAGAGTTCACTAATCTATGCAAATGTAATTCATCGTTCTATATTGTAGAACGGGCTTTTAATTTCGCAACGTGTCACGTGTTACAACAATTGCGTAAGTAGACGCATTGTGTGTGACAATACAATATAGTTGTCACATTAAAAAACCTGATAGTGGGTATATCAGATTAAGTTGCTCCAAACTAAAGTTGCAGTCTAACAAGTCCGTCCTATGCCGTTGGCTGATTCTTGCTCAGATACCTGACGTAAACAATTTTGTGTTTATTTTTTTCCTTTGCTAAAGCGTACAGTGGAAATAGGTTAAATAATTTGTTTTTCTTTTTTTGGAGTTTACTCCTTTAGAATCGATTTACATATATAGGCCCGGGGTATGAAAATTATGGGGACCAAAATCGTACTAGCATGTCACACGAAATGCGTTATGCGCCTGATTGGCTCCTGATTGCGTGATGCGTGCGCGCGCCAATCAAAATCGTACTAGCATGTCACACGAAATGCGTTATGCGCCTGATTGGCTCCTGATTGCGTGATGCGTGCGCGCGCCAATCAGGAGCCAACGCGCGGCCGCGTTATCGCAGGTGACGCCGGGCTGCTGCGCCGGCAGTCCGCCACAAAGCCTCGTACTGATCGCGCGTTTCTCTCATTATTGTATTTTCATATATTTGTTAGTCGTTTGTTTTGTGTCTCGTTAATTTGTTAATAATCTGTAGTGTATCGTGTTGTCGTAATATAGAACTATTTCTCGTATTGTTTCGTTTAATTTTTTATATCCAGTAAACTCCAGTCGTGCGTCGGAGCGGACACACACACTTTTTTTTTTTTAACACGTTCAACGCCATGAAAAAGTATTTTCATTTAGGTCACAGTGCTCACAGCGCCTTATCTTACTGAACCGTTCGGGCCATGAGGGTCGCCCGTAGCCACGTGAGGGTTTCAACGTAAATGCTTCCTACAAGACACAGATTGCAGCTATCAAACAAAACGTACTCAACAAATGTTCACGATTGACTTCCACGGTGAAGGAATAACATCGTGTAATAAAAATCCAACCTGCATAATTATAATTTGCGTAATTACTGGTGGTAGGACCTCTTGTGAGTCCGCGCGGGTAGGTACCACCACCCTGCCCATTTCTGCCGTGAAGCAGTAATGCGTTTTGGTTTGAAGGGTATAGGGCAGCCGTTGTAACTATGCTGAGATCTTAGAACTTATATCTCAAGTTGGGTGGCACATTTACGTCGTAGATGGTTATGGACTCCAGTAACAACTTAACACCAGGTGGGTTGTGAGCTCGTCCACCCATCGTTCGTTTGACCCGACAGATGAAACCTTTGCTCGGCCTTGGTTTAGCTCCTGCTGACTAAGGGATGCAACCCAAGTCTCCTTAAATCAATATTTTGTAGCTGTTGTCCATGTAGCCACCGGCACAGTTCTAGTTTGAAAATTATCCCTCCAACGATTACCTACCAGCTTAAAGTCAATACCCGTAGCGAATGCTCTCAAACGGGCGGCTGTATAAACTATAAGTGGAATACCTACAAAATAGACATAGCTATGTATGAATTATGTATGTTATCCGATTCCTCTTAGTAGGACGAGGTTGCGAGAAATTCATGCGATTTTGCTTCGATTCAGAACAGAGATGCTTACATTACATTTTACAAATCTACACATTCAACATGGCAATTAAAATAGATAATCATCGTCATCATTATCTCAGCCTGTCCACTGTCTCTCATAAGTCTCTCCAACTGATGTCCAGTGGGGCCGATTCGTTGCTACCTAATTTTTTTTTTGTTTTTTTGTTTAGATGGGTGGACGAGCTCACAGCCCTCTTGATGTGTGGTTACTGGAACCCATAGACATCTACAACGTAGATGCGCCACCCACCTTGAGATATAAGTTCTAAGGTCTCAGTATAGTTACGACGGCTGCCCCGCCCTTCAAACCGAAACGCATTATTGCTTCACGACAGATATAGGCAGGGCGGTGGTACCTACTCGTGTGGACTTACAAGAGGTCCTACCACCAGTAATTACGCAAATTATAATTTTGCGGGTTTGATTTTTATTATTTTCAACGGCTTATAAAATAAATATTATTTAATTAATGTATACCGAGTTCGTTTTTTTGACGTGAAAAAGTTAGAACTACCTTACTATTATTACTAATTACTAATACTATTACTTTACTTTATGATTTGAAATAGCCCGTATTGGCTGATGGTCGAATATCGACCGTAATTACTGCAACGGCGGATCCAGGGGGGGGGGGATCATGGGGGTCATGACCCCCACATGATTTATTTATTATCTTTTGTTATCAAAATTAAATTATAAGTTCTTAACTTGCCCACGACTATGTGACCCCCTCCTGGCGCCAAAGCTGGATCCGCTCTTGAATTACTGACAATTCAAAATTTAAATTCATTTTACCCATTAAATTTATTTTCTCTTTCGTGTAGTTTTTAAATTTAGACATACATACCTATATTCATTTGGAGCAGAATAAAGACTTTGTTTCAATAAAGTTTCTAATTTTAATTTTTTATTCATTTTTGTGCTGTTCAAGAGTTTTTAATCATTACCATCTTACGCAAACTTATATAGGTACAGACCATCAGAGTGGCCATGGAAAGCAATGCCAGGGGTACGACCAAGCCGCTGCCTACTCTTAGCTCAGTTACATAACAAATCATATTATTAATACATAATACCAAAGTTGCTCAATTTATCTCTTACGTTTTCACGCCCAGACCACTGAACCTATTTTGATTAAATTCGGTATGAAGGTAGTTTGAATTCTGGGAAATAACATAGCGTCGCTGTCAAACCAAAATCTACTATGTGCAAAAACTCTATTTTGAATTAACGAGTAAAAACATTAACGTATAAAATTTTATATGAAAGTGAATTTTTAAGAACTATATCAAATGATAGCCATAGATCAGGGGCTCCCAAACTTATTTTGTCTACTGCCCACTTTGAGAATAAATTGTTTTTTAGCGTCCCATTATTCAACTACTTAAAAACCACTATAGCGAGAGCTCAATCGGTGTCTAAGAGTCCTCTAAGATGAAATTCCAAATCACCCCCTTAAGCCTTTACACAACGCTCTCTTTTTTTTCTGGGTCTCTTACCGCCCCCATTATGCCTGCAGCGCCCACAAGGAGGCGTTATCGCCCACTTTGGGAAAGGCTGCCATAGATAAATAAAGCTATAGGCACATAACTGTTTTTTTATACTGTAGATAGGGTTGTGAACTATACGAAAAGGTCAAAAAGTACATAGCAGATTTTGGTTCAACAACGACGATAGGTTGCCTTTTATATCACTTATATAAAACTTAGCCCACTCAAGCGCAGCAACAGAATAACAAAAATGACACTCGAATTATCGTTTCATTTTAATTGTAATCTCATTCAAAATAACTACATTAAATCGTTTTGCTGTTGGTATTTGGTTGCTTATTGCAACGCATATAATAATCACATGACCTGTGAACATGATCTTACGACTATCGACCTTGCACTAGCAACATCAAGAGAAGAGTCACATGATGCCGTGAAATAGAATGTTTTCTTATTTAATCAACGTTAGTGAATATCGGGGCCAGAAGTCGTTTAAATCTAACTTTACGATGCAATACAACAAAATCTGTGCCAGTTTTGAAAATATCTAATTTAGAATTAGGTTTACATTAACAAATGAACAACGTCGTGTATTGAAGAAGTAATAGC